TAATTTCTCTAATTTCAAAGTCAAAGCTTTAAGATTTTATGCTATGCAAGACTATTTTTCCTTCTTTTTAGAAAAATAATTATTGTACTAAAATGTAGATCATCTACTTTAGAAAGAACTATTATTATTTTGAAGGATACATAATGGATTGGAGGGATGTGGGGTTTAAGATTTCCTATCAAATAAAAAAAGAAAAAAAGAAAAAAGGGGCGACTAGAAAGAAGAAACTCTCACCTTTTTCTCTTATACCGAAAATTATATTTTTATCCTTTTTATTCCTTGGTTTTTCAATAAACATGCAAGACTAAGTTATTTTTCTTGGTTGAAAGGATATAAAAAACTTCAAATTTTAAAAACTATAAGATCTATTTTATATTTTCTTTTTAGTTTATATGATGGGTATGAATGTTTTTTATGCTTATTTTCTATGACTATTTAGTTTAATTATTAGAGCAGACTCTAAGTTATTATTTTAACCAATTTGTTGTTAAGTTTACTATCAAAACCAGAGTTGTGATATTTGAACTTGTGAAGTGACTAACTTCAATAATTATAATGAATCTATGTTGTTAATCTTAGGAAAAATATTCAATTAAATTAAATATAGACTACAAACAATTATGTTATCTATATTTATTAATCTATTTAGTTCTTAAGGTTGTTATTGAGTTAAATTACTAGTGTGAACACTGTGGTTGTTTAATAGTCAGAGTTAGTTACATTGTAGATCAGTTAACTCATTAATATTAAGAAAAAATAAATATTCAGAATATAAATTGACGTATCGTTTCAATGATTAATTTTGATTTTTGTAAATGAACTTTTACTTGAAACCAATATTTTTCTCTTAATAAGTTTCGGTTTATTTAATTTAGTTTGATTATTTTATTTTATTTACCATATCATAGCTTAGATAACCTCAAAATTCTCAAATTTTGAATCATCTAGTATAAATATCTAAACTTGATTTTTCTAATGGGATTAACTCCTTATATGCTTTATTCTATTTTATTTATTTAAGTTAAAATAATTAATTTATATTACAAATATCGCAACAATTTACCTCATTGAGATTAACGGGAGGATTTTAGTTTTAGGGCTCGCTAAAATGGACTTGGTAAAATGGGGTCAAACATCACCGCGTGTGAGCGAGGACCGACGGTTTTGTGGCTGTTTGCTTGGTTGGTAGAGAAGACGTATTATTGATTATTGGATTGTCCTGCCAGTCACAATGTGCCGGATTGTAGTTTCGAGTCCTCACGATTCATGCACCTTGCTGCTATTGACAACATAACTTTCACACGGGACCCCATGACTAAGACCGCTGTGCCCATGCTTCAAAATTATTTATTGGCCAGGCAGATTGTCATTTTTATCAGTTGTATTGTATTCACACATCGATACATAGCCAGCCAGCGCTTTCTCCTCGTGGTTCTCTACTAATGGCCTGCACGAAATCAAGAAACAGAAGAAACACTAACCATGCGAAGCCAACGCCTCTTGGATGCTGGTAGGGGTATTGAAACTTTAACAAAATAGTCATGAGCATTAAAAGCCAAATAGATATCTCCTCCGTTCTTGTCATGAAGCCTGCGTAACGAATGGTTTGATAATGCAAGCAAGATACTACGACAAAAAATATTGAAGCAAATTGAACAATACAGAGAGAAGATGAGTACGATTTCTTACGTAAATGCAAGAAATTTGCTTTCGTAATTGTCCCAGTTGTTCTCATGCCATGTCACATCATTCTGCATAACACGTGCAGAAGAGTGTGTTGAGAGCTCTTTTATAAGTGCTAACATGTGAAATATATCATGGTTTCAAAATAAATGCATGTCGATTAAGTCACAGGTTAAAGGTGACTTGCTTTTCTGAGAAAATTGTGATGGGTAATTACTTGATGTGTCTGCCGAAGCTTTATAACCTCCGAGAAAAATCTGAAGAGACTACTCTTTTCAGCATCCAACTGTCCCAGAGGATTTTGTATTTAGAGATTAACTGGGTTAAAGTTGTCAAAAAGCAATAATAGATTACAAAAACTTACGAGCCCCCATTGGAAATTGTTGATAGAGGTGTCATGCCCGTAACTGTTGATATTTCCATAGGTAGGGTGTCTATATTCGTCCCCCATTAGCATCACCGGTGTTCCCTAGCATACAAACACACAATTTTACAACACTGAAGCATGTCCAACGAATTTTAAAACTAACCCTGAAATCTAGTCTTGATGTAACACCACAGCCGGCAAAGTTTTTAGAGTCGGGTTTATGAAAAGGCTACAAATCCTAAAAATTCTACTTTCAGCAAGAGATGAAGTAGAGGATATGAAAAGACGCAGGAAAACCTAGCAGAAAAGCAAAGACATGAAATAACATGTGAATTAAAAACATCCAAACTGAATAAAGTTTCGAAGGCATGTTTTGTTTGCCTCTGCTGTACTGGGTAAGGAATAAGGTGGAACCAGTACGTGACACATGAACTCTGTAGTCTGTACTGTACCTGAGATATCATTAACGCTAAATGGAAGTTTTTCATTTGCAGAGAGCGTAAGACTTTAATATTACTATGTAGAAATAACAAAACTTGAGCTGCTTTTAACATGAGTAAATCTTATGTATAACAATGATACATTATTCTAGGTAAAATAATATAGATGGATGAAAGAATTGCAGATCTAGCAAGAATCATTATTCTTTGACATTAAGGTGCTTACTCTGTTGAGGTCGGCAGATCCAGCAACACGAGTAGCAAAACTCCCTTTCATAACAGAATCACCCTATAATATGCAACAACTATAAGTAAAAGAAAAAAAAAAAGACAAATAGAAATGTTCTCGGGTAAATTACAAGAAAAATCTGCTTCTCCCATTAAGAAACATGATCTTATTTCATGGTATGCAACAGAACTACACGGTCATCTGAGAACAGTATGAGGGAGAATAAACCATATCCATGCAGCAATAAAAGAAAAGGCAATTAACAAGAAAAGTAAAGGTCAATGAACAGGCAAAAGTTACATGAATTTGGATAATAAGATAATCATTAAAAGGATGAACAAGATATGAAAATTCTCAGCATAAAGAGGCAAGCCTGCTAGAATGGGATTGCAAGTATTAAAGTTTTAGAGCATTGGTTCTATAAAACAGTTCTAAAAATACAAAGTAATTCCATCAAAATCACTGAAATCCATTTGAAACCTTTCAAGCATGCCATCTCATTTCAAGACAAATCACTTTCAGTTCATGTTGCTATCTTGATGGACCCTTATTTCTGTGCTTGGTAAGCTATCGTTGATGTGAAAAAGCCATTCAATTCAGCCGCTCTGAATGAAAAACAAAAAACAAGCACAGATAAGGCGGAATCGCATTCCGAAAGAACTAGAAAAAATATAAAGCACACCAAATTCCATGCCATTCATATTATGTAATGAACTGAATACGTTCCGAACTGATAATGATAAAACCAGGAACAATATATCTCTATGATTGTGTTTATATATATTTTTTTTATTAATAGAAATATTCGGGTGAACTTAACATACTTAATTAATTTTATTATCTTTAAATTTAATGATTATTTAAACTTTTAGTAGCCGAGGTTCTCTGCAAGATACACTTCTAAAATTTATGTATTTATACAGTATAAATATTTATTATTTAAAAATTCAAAAATAATAACAAATAAAAGTTACCTGTCCCAATTTGGAAATCTTCCAACCAGATAAAGGCCTCCACAATCCCAAGGCTCTGCAATAATTTTACATCTTGACAGGATGGCTTCTTTTGCAATTGCCTGGTTAATTAAATAATATCAAGTTATTACAAAATGTAAAGTCATGTATTTAGGTGGCATAATTAATGGGATTTGAGTGGGAGATAAGTTATAATTGGTGGAGGATGAGTTGGTATGAGTGGAAGATGAGTTGTTAGGCATATATTCCTCCTAAATTTATGACCATTATACCCTCACTCTTGCCTATAAATAGACAATGCATTCAAGCCTATATGCACATCAAAATAGAGAGAAGAAAAAGAGAGTGAAAAGAGAGTAATCCCACAAAATTGTGAGGTATTTGTGATAGAGTAAATGAGATGTTTTCTCCTAATAATAAAGAGATTCTTAGTTGTTCTCCTATTATTCGAGAGAGGTTGTAATTCCTACATTACTTAGTAAAATCCTTCTATACTTGTTTGTGGACGTAGCCCAATTGGGTGAACCACGTAAATTCTTGTGTGTTCCATTTCTTATTTTATCTTGTCGGGTTTGCATGCCAACACCCTAACAGTGGTATCAGAGCCTTTTGGTTAGTGTTGTTAATACACAAAGTTATTTGTGCATATGGGCACTATTCACCTATACGACACTATTTATCTATACGGTACTATTCACATATATTACTATTGGCGTATATAGAAAGTCAGTGAGGTGATTAAATACAGTCTAGGAAGTTCTGTCTAAGGAGATTGGGTTTTAAGCGGGACTGTTTGTGACCCCTCCAATCTTTCTTGGGAACTTAGTAAAGTATTATTCACACGATACTATTTTTATATACGTTACAGACCTGTGAAACAGTGATAGCTGAATAGATCTCGGTGAATTCAATGGCAACAAAGTACGAGATTGAGTGATTTAATGGGAGCAATTTCTCACTGTGGAAAATAAGAATCAAGGCAATCTTAAGAAAAGACAATTGCTTGGCAGCAATTGGGGATCGTCCCGCGGAGATCACTGATGATGCAAAATGGAATGAGATGGATGGAAATGCTATTGCTAACATACATTTAGCATTAGCCGATGAAGTATTATCAAGTGTGGCGGAGAAGAAAACAGCTAAGGAGATATGAGAGACTCTATCAAAGTTATATGAGTCCAAGTCTTTACACAATAAGATTTTCTTAAAGCAGAGACTTTATACCCTTCGAATGGCAGAAACCACGTCGGTGACTGACCACATCAACACAATAAGAACTCTATTTTCACAACTCACTATATTGGGTCATCAAATAGAGGAAAATGAACGTGCAGAGCTTCTACTTCAAAGTCTTCCTGATTCGTATGATCAACTTATTATCAACTTGACCAATAATATCCTCTCAAACTATTTAGTCTTCGATATGATTTTTGTAAATGAACTTTTACTTGAAACCAATATTTTTCTCTTAATAAGTTTCGGTTTATTTAATTTAGTTTGATTACTTTATTTTATTTACCATATCATAGCTTAGATAACCTCAAAATTCTCAAATTTTGAATCATCTAGTATAAATATCTAAACTTGATTTTTCTAATGGGATTAACTCCTTATATGCTTTATTCTATTTTATTTATTTAAGTTAAAATAATTAATTTATATTACAAATATCGCAACAATTTACCTCATTGAGATTAACGGGAGGATTTTAGTTTTAGGGCTCGCTAAAATGGACTTGGTAAAATGGGGTCAAACATCACCGCGTGTGAGCGAGGACCGACGGTTTTGTGGCTGTTTGCTTGGTTGGTAGAGAAGACGTATTATTGATTATTGGATTGTCCTGCCAGTCACAATGTGCCGGATTGTAGTTTCGAGTCCTCACGATTCATGCACCTTGCTGCTATTGACAACATAACTTTCACACGGGACCCCATGACTAAGACCGCTGTGCCCATGCTTCAAAATTATTTATTGGCCAGGCAGATTGTCATTTTTATCAGTTGTATTGTATTCACACATCGATACATAGCCAGCCAGCGCTTTCTCCTCGTGGTTCTCTACTAATGGCCTGCACGAAATCAAGAAACAGAAGAAACACTAACCATGCGAAGCCAACGCCTCTTGGATGCTGGTAGGGGTATTGAAACTTTAACAAAATAGTCATGAGCATTAAAAGCCAAATAGATATCTCCTCCGTTCTTGTCATGAAGCCTGCGTAACGAATGGTTTGATAATGCAAGCAAGATACTACGACAAAAAATATAGAAGCAAATTGAACAATACAGAGAGAAGATGAGTACGATTTCTTACGTAAATGCAAGAAATTTGCTTTCGTAATTGTCCCAGTTGTTCTCATGCCATGTCACATCATTCTGCATAACACGTGCAGAAGAGTGTGTTGAGAGCTCTTTTATAAGTGCTAACATGTGAAATATATCATGGTTTCAAAATAAATGCATGTCGATTAAGTCACAGGTTAAAGGTGACTTGCTTTTCTGAGAAAATTGTGATGGGTAATTACTTGATGTGTCTGCCGAAGCTTTATAACCTCCGAGAAAAATCTGAAGAGACTACTCTTTTCAGCATCCAACTGTCCCAGAGGATTTTGTATTTAGAGATTAACTGGGTTAAAGTTGTCAAAAAGCAATAATAGATTACAAAAACTTACGAGCCCCCATTGGAAATTGTTGATAGAGGTGTCATGCCCGTAACTGTTGATATTTCCATAGGGAGGGTGTCTATATTCGTCCCCCATTAGCATCACCGGTGTTCCCTAGCATACAAACACACAATTTTACAACACTGAAGCATGTCCAACGAATTTTAAAACTAACCCTGAAATCTAATCTTGATGTAACACCACAGCCGGCAAAGTTTTTAGAGTCGGGTTTATGAAAAGGCTACAAATCCTAAAAATTCTACTTTCAGCAAGAGATGAAGTAGAGGATATGAAAAGACGCAGGAAAACCTAGCAGAAAAGCAAAGACATGAAATAACATGTGAATTAAAAACATCCAAACTGAATAAAGTTTCGAAGGCATGTTTTGTTTGCCTCTGCTGTACTGGGTAAGGAATAAGGTGGAACCAGTACGTGACACATGAACTCTGTAGTCTGTACTGTACCTGAGATATCATTAACGCTAAATGGAAGTTTTTCATTTGCAGAGAGCGTAAGACTTTAATATTACTATGTAGAAATAACAAAACTTGAGCTGCTTTTAACATGAGTAAATCTTATGTATAACAATGATACATTATTCTAGGTAAAATAATATAGATGGATGAAAGAATTGCAGATCTAGCAAGAATCATTATTCTTTGACATTAAGGTGCTTACTCTGTAGAGGTCGGCAGATCCAGCAACACGAGTAGCAAAACTCCCTTTCATAACAGAATCACCCTATAATATGCAACAACTATAAGTAAAAGAAAAAAAAAAAGACAAATAGAAATGTTCTCGGGTAAATTACAAGAAAAATCTGCTTCTCCCATTAAGAAACATGATCTTATTTCATGGTATGCAACAGAACTACACGGTCATCTGAGAACAGTATGAGGGAGAATAAACCATATCCATGCAGCAATAAAAGAAAAGGCAATTAACAAGAAAAGTAAAGGTCAATGAACAGGCAAAAGTTACATGAATTTGGATAATAAGATAATCATTAAAAGGATGAACAAGATATGAAAATTCTCAGCATAAAGAGGCAAGCCTGCTAGAATGGGATTGCAAGTATTAAAGTTTTAGAGCATTGGTTCTATAAAACAGTTCTAAAAATACAAAGTAATTCCATCAAAATCACTGAAATCCATTTGAAACCTTTCAAGCACGCCATCTCATTTCAAGACAAATCACTTTCAGTTCATGTTGCTATCTTGATGGACCCTTATTTCTGTGCTTGGTAAGCTATCGTTGATGTGAAAAAGCCATTCAATTCAGCCGCTCTGAATGAAAAACAAAAAACAAGCACAGATAAGGCGGAATCGCATTCCGAAAGAACTAGAAAAAATATAAAGCACACCAAATTCCATGCCATTCATATTATGTAATGAACTGAATACGTTCCGAACTGATAATGATAAAACCAGGAACAATATATCTCTATGATTGTGTTTATATATATTTTTTTTATTAATAGAAATATTCGGGTGAACTTAACATACTTAATTAATTTTATTATCTTTAAATTTAATGATTATTTAAACTTTTAGTAGCCGAGGTTCTCTCAAGATACACTTCTAAAATTTATGTATTTATACAGTATAAATATTTATTATTTAAAAATTCAAAAATAATAACAAATAAAAGTTACCTATCCCAATTTGGAAATCTTCCAACCAGATAAAGGCCTCCACAATCCCAAGGCTCTGCAATAATTTTACATCTTGACAGGATGGCTTCTTTTCCAATTGCCTGGTTAATTAAATAATATCAAGTTATTACAAAATGTAAAGTCATGTATTTAGGTGGTATAATTAATGGGATTTGAGTGGGAGATAAGTTATAATTGGTGGAGGATGAGTTGGTATGAGTGGAGGATGAGTTGTTAGGCATATATTCCTCCTAAATTTATGATCATTGTACCCTCACTCTTGCCTATAAATAGGCAATGCATTCAAGCCTATATGCACACCAAAATAGAGAGAAGAAAAAGAGAGTGAAAAGAGAGTAATCCCACAAAATTGTGAGGTATTTGTGATAGAGTAAATGAGATGTTTTCTCCTAATAATAAAGAGATTCTTAATTGTTCTCCTATTATTCGAGAGAGGTTGTAATTCCTACATTACTTAGTAAAATCCTTTTATACTTGTCTGTGGACGTAGCCCAATTGGGTGAACCACGTAAATTCTTGTGTGTTCCATTTCTTATTTTATCTTGTCGGGTTTGCATGCCAACACCCTAACAGTGGTATCAGAGCCTTTTGGTTAGTGTTGTTAATACACAAAGTTATTTGTGCATACGAGCACTATTCACCTATACGACACTATTTATCTATACGGTACTGTTCACATATGTTACTATTGGCGTATATAGAAAGTCAGTGCGGTGATTAAATACAGTCTAGGAAGTTCTGTCTAAGGAGATTGGGTTTTAAGCGGGACTGTTTGTGACCCCTCCAATCTTTCCTAGGAACTTAGTAAAGTATTATTCACACGATACTATTTTTATATACGTCACAGACCTGTGAAACAGTGATAGCTGAATAGATCTCGGTGAATTCAATGGCAGCAAAGTACGAGATTGAGTGATTTAATGGGAGCAATTTGTCACTGTGGAAAATGAGAATCAAGGCAATCTTAAGAAAAGACAATTGCTTGGCAGCAATTGGGGATCGACCCGCGAAGATCACTGATGATGCAAAATGGAATGAGATGGATGGAAATGCTATTGCTAACATACATTTAGCATTAGCCGATGAAGTATTATTAAGTGTGGCGGAGAAGAAAACAGCTAAGGAGATATGAGAGATTCTATCAAAGTTATATGAGTCCAAGTCTTTACACAATAAGATTTTCTTAAAGCGGAGACTTTATACCCTTCGAATGGCAAAAACCACGTCGGTGACTGACCACATCAACACAATAAGAACTCTATTTTCACAACTCACTACATTGGGTCATCAAATAGAGGAAAATGAACGTGCAGAGCTTCTACTTCAAAGTCTTCCTGATTTGTATGATCAACTTATTATCAACTTGACCAATAATATCCTCTCAAACTATTTAGTCTTCGATGATGTTGCAGCCGCTATCTTGGAAGAAGAAAATAGGCGCAAAAACAAAGGAGATAGAAATAGTTCAAACCAAGCAGAGGCGTTGTTGGTGTCAAGAGGAAGATCAACGAAGCGTGGCTCCAGTGGGAGTCAAAGGTAGGGGAGGTCCAAATCAAGAAGTAAGAAGACTGTGAAATGCTACAACTATGGCAAAAAGGGGCACTTCAAAAAGGATTGTTGGTTTAAAAAGGGTATAGAGAATACTGCAGAGTCATCAAAATCTCAAGGGTGTGTTGCGAGCACCTCAGAAGATGGAGATGTTTTATATAGTGAAACAGCGACAATCTCTACAGATACAGAAGAGCTCACTGAGGTCTGGCTAATGGATTCAGGAGCAACATGGCATATGACTCCTCATCGAGATTGGTTCCATACATATAAACCTATCTCTGGAGGCAAAGTGTTTATGGGTAATAATCATGCTTTAGAGATTATTGGTATTGGCACCATCAAATTGAAGATGTATGATGACTTAATTCGTACTATTTCAGAAGTGCGACATGTGAAAGACTTAAAGAAGAATCTTTTGTCCATAGGACAATTTGATAGTCTTGGCTGTAAGATCCGAACAAACAATGGAATTATGAAAATTATCAAAGGAGCACTGGTGGTTTTAAAGGCAAGAAAGACAGTTGCAAATATATTTGTATTAATGGGAGAAACACATCATGAAGCAGAAGCGTCAATCGCATCAGCCAGTCCTGCAGAAGAGAAGACGATGATGTGGCATCAAAAACTAGGTCACATATCATAGAAAGGTTTAAAGGTTCTCTCTGATCAGAAGTTACTCCCTGGGCTTACAAAGGTTACTTTACCTTTTTGTGAGCACTGTGTTACAAGTAAACAACATAGGCTGAAGTTTGGCACATCAACAACTAAGAGCAAATGCATCTTAGACCTGATTCACTCTGATGTTTGACAAGCACCAGTTGTATCCTTCGGAGGAGCAAGATACTTTGTATCATTCATAGATGACTTCTCTAGGAGATGTTCGGTGTATCCAATTAGAAGGAAGGCAGATGTGCTTACAGTCTTTAAAACTTTCAAAGCACGGGTGGAACTTGAATCTGAAAAGAAGATCAAGTGTTTGAGGACTGACAATGGAGGAGAATATACCAGTGATGAATTTAATAACTTCTGTCAACATGAAGGTATCAAAAGGCAGTTCACAACGACATACACTCCACAGCAAAATGGAGTGGCAGAGCAGATGAACAGAACTCTATTAGAAAGAACAAGAGCAATATTGAAGGCTGCAGGTCTAGGAAAATCATTCTGGGCAGAAGCAGTCAATACTGCCTGTTATGTGATAAATCAATCTCCATCAACTGCAATTGAGCTGAAAACACCGATGGAGATATGGACCGGAAAACCAGCTGATTATTCTCGATTGTATATATTTGGAAGTCCTATGTACATGATGTACAATACACAAGAAGTTAGCAAGCTGGATTCAAAATCCAGCAAATGTGTATTCTTGGTATATGCTGATGGAATGAAGGGGTATCGCTTGTGGGATCCCACTGCCCACAAGGTAGTTATCAGCAGAGATGTCATATTTGCAGAAGGTAAAATGCAAATGGAAGAGCATAATAGCATTATAAAGGAGACCACAACAGTCCATGTGGAAAATACTCAAAATCATGCTTCTTCTGAAGCTGTACCAGAGCATGAAGAGCAAGAACAAATAGAGTCTGAAACTCCTGAAGTTCGGCGGTCGACTCGTGAAAGAAGACCATCGACTTGGCACTCAGAATATGTTACTGAAAGTAACATTGCATACTATCTTCTAACAGAGGATGAAGAGCCATCAACTTTCCATGAGGCTATTAAAAGCACAGATGTATCTATGTGGATGACAGCAATGCAAGAGGAGATTGAAGCTTTGCACAAGAATAATACTTGGGATCTTGTTCTGCTACCACAAGGAAGAAAGGCCATTGGCAACAAATGGGTTTACAAGATAAAACGTGATGGCAATGATCAAGTGGAGCGATATCGTGCAAGATTAATGGTGAAAGGATATGCTCAGAAAGAAGGAATAGACTTCAATGAGATATTTTCTCCAGTGGTACGACTTACGACAATCAGAGTAGTCTTAGCAATGTGTGTTATATTTGATCTTCACTTGGAGCAGTTAGACGTGAAAACTGCATTTCTTCATGGAAAACTTGAAAAAGAAATTTATATGCTCTAACCAGAGGGTTTTGCTGAAATAGGCAAAGAGAACTTGGTTTGCAGGTTGAACAAATCTCTATACGGTCTCAAGTAGGCGCCGAGGTGTTGGTACAAGAGATTTGATTCCTTCATAATTAGCCTTGGGTACAACAGACTCAGTTCAGACCATTGTACGTATTACAAGAGGTTTGAAGAAGATTTCATCATTTTGTTGTTATACATGGATGACATGTTGGTGATAGGCCCCAACAAAGATCGAGTCCAAGAATTGAAGATACAGTTGGCTAGGGAGTTTGATATGAAGGACTTGGGACCAGCAAACAAGATTCTAGGGATGGAAATTTACTAAGACAGAAGTAAGAGGAAGATTTGGCTTTCTCAGAAGAATTATTTGAAGAAAATCTTGCGACGCTTCAACATGCAAGATTGCAAGCCAATTTCCACCCCACTTCCTATTAATTTCAAATTATCCTCAAGTATGTCTCCTAGCAATGAAGCGGAGAGGATGGAGATGTCTCGAGTACCGTATGCATCAGTAGTGGGAAGTTTAATGTTTGCCATGATATGTACAAGACCAGACATTGCACAAGCAGTGGAAGCAGCTAGTCGATATATGACAAATCCTGGTAGAGAGCATTGAAATACTATTAAGAGGATCTTGAGATACATCAAGGATACCTCAGATGTTGCATTATGTTATGGAGGATCAGAATTTACGATCAAAGGTTATGTTGACTCAGATTTTGCTGGTGACCTTGAGAAAAGAAAATCCATTACAAGCTATGTGTTCATAATTGCAAGAGGAGCTGTGAGCTGGGTTTCTAAACTTCAGACTGTTGTAGCTTTGTCCATAATAGAAGCTGAGTACATGGCAGCTACACAAGCTTGTAAAGAAGCAATATGAATGAAGAAACTTATGGAGGAGCTCAGGCACAAACAAGAGAATATTCTTTTGTATTGTGATAGTCAAAGTGCCTTGCATATTGCAAGGAATCCATCATTTCATTCAAGAACAAAACACATAGATGTTCAGTATCACTTTGTTCGCGAAGTGGTGGAAGATGGAAGTGTGGATTTTCAGAAGATTCACACAAAGGAAAACCCAGCAGATGCTTTGACCAAACCGGTCAATACTGATAAGTATATATGGTGCAGATCCTCTTATGGCCTAACAAAAACGTAAACAACATGAAGATGACAAGTATAGAAAGGATAGAAGAAGAATCACAGATAATCAAGTGTGAAGACTTGATTAAATCATCAAAGTCTTCAAGTGGGAGAATGTAAAGTCATGTATTTAGGTGACATAATTAATGGCATTTGAGTGGGAGATGAGTTGTAATCGGTGGAGGATGAGTTGGTATGAGTGGAGGATGAGTTGTTAGACATATATTCCTCCTAAATTTATGACCATTATACCCTCACTCTTGCTTATAAATAGGCAATGCATTCAAGCCTATATGCACACCAAAATAGAGAGAAGAAGAAGAGAGTGAAAAGAGAGTGAAAAGAGAGTAATCCCACAAAATTGTGAGGTATTTGTGATAGAGTAAGTGAGGTGTTTTCTCCTAATAATAGAGAGATTCTTAGTTGTTCTCCTATTATTCGAGAGAGGTTGTAATTCCTACATTACTTAGTAAAATCCTTCTATACTTGTCTGTGGACGTAACCCAATTGGATGAACCACGTAAATTCTTGTGTGTTCCATTTCTTATTTTATCTTGTTTCTTATCTTTTATTTTGTCGGGTTTGTATTCCAGCACCCTAACACAAAATTCACTGTTTTGACTATATAAGCCAAAAGACCACATGAATGCGTGTTAAGAACCTATCAACATTCTAAAGTAATGGCCTGGCCTTTTCCAATAAAAATTACACCCAACGTTCTGCTTGTGCAACAAACTGCGTTTGGCGCTACGATGCTGTTTATAGATATTTGGTTAGATATTAGCTATATTTTTATTGTTGCAGGTTTCATTTGAAACTGAGGTTCAAACTTAATTTCTTGAAAGACCATCGTTTTTCGTGAGATCGTGCTCTCCTCTCTCCTTCACCAATTGTACAGATAATTAATCATTACACAAATTTCACACAACAACAGAGAGGTCTCCATTCTTAAGATCCAGAAAAATCCTGTAATTTTTCAATTTTTCATCCTTGTTCCCCTTTGTTTCCTTTTCTTACCTCTTGCCAAACGGCAATGAAACCATTGCAAATTTTTTTCAAAACAACCCTCTCGTCTCCATTGTTGTTTGCCTTTTCCTTTTATATTTTCCAGTCTCCACTATTCTATAAAATAAACAATGAAGAGTAAATAGTAAACAGTGAAGGAGAGTGAAGAACAATGAAAAACGTCTTTATTATTAATATTCAAACTTAAATGTATTTAACTGGCTTCATCTAGTAAAATAAAAATTTTAAAATTTTTTAAATATTATATTTTATTTAAAAAGCTAGTATTTAATATTATTAAATAACACTATATAATTATATTAGAAAGAAATCACACGATAACGTAACATTTGTATAATTTGATCGCAATTCTAATTTTATTCCTAATGATATTTTACGCGATGTTGTTGCACACTCAGAAAACCATGAAAACTGTAGTTATTATCGGATAAAATTGGAGATAGTTTAATGAAACAATAAAAAATATTTTATATAAAATATTATTTCTGTAGTTATTATCGGATAAAATTGGAGATAGTTTAATGAAACAATAAAAAATATTTTATATAAAATATTATTTATTTCATGATATAATAATAGTAGTTAAATCTATAACATTTCAATTAAAAACTATTAATATTAATATATGTTTTTTTAGTTATTTTATAACCTTAATTTAAAAAATATTCTTAACCAAATATATTAAACTATTTTTTTTATTTAATCTTAATTTTAATTACAATTTTAATTAAAAATATATTTCAACAAATCAATCTCAATTAAAAATAATTTTTTTAAAATTATAATAATAAAAACAATCATAATACCTCTAGACTCGTTTCAAAATCATGTTCTTCTATGCAAATTAAAAGAATATCAATTCACTTCTGACAAATATAAATTCAGACGGGCAAAAACCTCTCAGGAGCGTCAAGTGGAGACCCATTTATTCCTCGGCAGAGTACACTGGCAAGGTCACATCTAAATCCATCCACATGATGTTCAATGACCCTGCATTTAGTAAAAGAGGAAGAATGAGAAATAAATCATACAGGAACAGGCACTGACAGAACAGAACAGAAAACAATATATGCATGCAACATAAACAGTCCCAGGTCCTCGAGGGTGAAGGATCGCTAAGGAATAAGGTCAACTTAATGTGTTCCCTAGACAGAAGACAAACACTACAGTTGAAGCAATAATTTCAAAACTCCTACAGAGGAAATATGTTGAAAAGGCATTTGCTTCCTTGTTGCTTTAAGTTCAACAATCATGTAAGCTTATTCCAGATTTCATCTGAATCAGCAAGAAATACCACAGGTCCTAATCTAATAACCTTAACTTTGTGAACCATATCATCTTTCAGGAAATTATCATGCGATATTATAAAAGCAAACAGGATTTGGATGGCCCAACAGAACTGAAAAAATCTGTCATGTTTTATACAAAAACTCTGATGCTCTTGTCGCTTATAGTGCTGAAATAAAGTTATTGGCCCATCTCAATAAGAGAATCAGTAGGGCCTTCAAAAAGGGAAAATACTTCAGCATATAGGAGAGAACACGGAGTCTTCTTCCAGTTTACTCCTCTTCAAACTGCACTTGAAAAAAACAATCAAAATAAGAAGCTTCAAGTTTCAGTTTTTGGAGGGAAGCAGAAGCAGATGTGATTTAGTAAACTTATCCTTTCTCCAAATTTGTAAAAGATGGAGCTCTGAACGATCCTCAAAACCCCACTTGGCCAACAAACTAGAAAACTTCAAGTTCACCCTGAATTACATAGTAAATTCTCCACAAATGCTTCATCAGCACATATTCATGGGATCTCTCGGATTCTTTTCGAACATGGAACAAATTACTAACCTCTTAGTCCTAAACTGTCTAGTTTGGGTGTCCGTTACTCTCTTTTTCCTGTTCTTGGTGTAGTGTACCATAAATAAGGAAATTTTAACCGGTGATTGAAGCATCACAAGAGGCCAAATGAGCAAAATTTATTTGGTATTGTTCAAGGTGGTTTGGATCCTGTACTAAGGTGAATTTACTTAAACTGCTCTCTTTGCTTGGTGCGTATTCTATTCTCTTCTGTTTTTTTTTTTTTTTAAATATTTTGCTGCTGGTATAACTTACCATTGTCTGTCTAACCAAATAATCAGGGATATATGTGTTAGAGGCTTGGTGGAGAGGAATTTACCTGGATATGTTCATTCATTCTTTTGTAGGATAACGTTAATTCAGCAGTTAAAGGTTATGCGGACAGAATTACTGATTTATCTATCATCATTCATTTTGGTCCTTCCTTTTTATTGCTAGCGCCCTTGAGCTTGATCGGTGTTTTGAACCATTGAATTTATTCATGGCACATGGCTTAACAAATTTCAAGCGATCCCTTTGTTGCTTGCTTTGCAGAAAAAAATAACGCAAGGAAATTAGATGAAATGTCATTTTCCAAAATCAAACTAGGTAGCTTTATATGTCAAGTTATCCATTACTACTTATTACATTATGTAGAACCATTTTACAGACGCAAGTCGTGGGTGTTAAATGTAGTTAGCTGTCACTGTCAAATCCATCAAATTCTCTAATTATAGAATACAAAGTTATTCCCTTTGAAAGCCTGCAAATGTATCATTACTTTCTGTGAGATAGAGCAGCTTATTGCTTGTTCAATCTCAGGTCTCTCGGTACTTAATGCTTGTTATTATTTTTTCACTTGTAGATGTTCTTTTTATTGTTTTATTTAACTTCAATTTATGTTCTGAGATTGTTTTATTAAAATTAACTGAGTTGTTTTATCAAAATTAACTGAGTTTGCTTCTTTGACAGCTATAAAGATTCATTTTGGCGAGTTGTTGCTCAGTGTACTGCTCTGATGCCTGAAGATAAACCACGATGTGTGATGGTAAAAACAACATTTATTATTTTAACTTGCGTTCTTTAAACTTGGTTGATTGAGGAATTGTTAGCTGCTTTGCTTTTCTAATTTGTCTTTCATTTATACTTACCTGCACTCAGGGTGTTGGTTATCCACTGGATATTGTAGTTTGCAGTGCTTTAGGTGCTGACATATATGACTCTGTTTGTCCCACTCGTACTGCTCGTTTTGGCACAGCTCTTGTACCAGAGGTGATGTTTTCTTGTTTTCTTTTTCTTAAAATATGTGAACTGAATTTCGAAAACACTATGAAGACCAAATCTTCACACTGTTCAAGATGCTGCTGCTTTGATGCGCTATAACCATACATTTCAATGGACTTGTTTTGTTATGGTTTCTGGCTTTAATCAAATAGTACTTTCTATTTTCTTTTTGTACTGGATTTTCCTGTCTTTCAGTTATTATAAACAGGTGAACCTGGGCCATTGGGTTTAAGAGGCCATTTGAATTGTGTATGCTGTATTCTATGCCTTTTGTTTTGGCAGAATCTTTGCCTAGTCTACTACGCTGAATATGTTTGAGTGATTTGTTTATCTATATTCATCCAAATTTTTCTTGTTTCTGTTTGACCCTGGTAGTGAATTATGTTTCACCTTGTCTTTTGAAACAAATGTAAATCGTATCTGTGCACTCTTCATGCTTTGGAGTCGTTTGTATCTAATAACTTGCAGCTTTATAAGCAGTGTTTGCTTCGCTAGGAAATACTTCATGTTACCACATCATGAACTTTTTATAAAATAATTACTGTGGACTTACTTTAACAGTATATTGCTGTAAATGTCCGTTCTAATCAATTGAAAAATAAACCCAGTTTTAGTTGAAGCTTCTGACATCGAAGCACTTCATGCAGGGATTGCTGAAACTTAAACACAAATCAATGGCCGAGGATACTCGTCCCATTGATCCAACATGTGCTTGCATGGTATTTGAGTCGTGGAACATTCATTGTCTTGAGCTGTTAGTCTATTAATTGGTGTCATAGTATAATCTGCATTGATCTTTTTTGTAGTGTTACACTATAATCTCTGCCTTGATCTTTGTCTTCCCCTGCAGGTTTGTATGAATTATACATGGGCATACATCCATTGTCTTGTTACAAAAGATGCTATGGGATCACAGCTTCTGTCATACCACAATTTGAATTGCATGTTGCCGTTACAAACATAAATAATAGCTTCTTTCTGTGAGTTTCGTTATATCTTGTAATTGAGACTGTTGTTCCTTCAAAATTTGTAGCTTAGCAGAAATCTACACAGTTCGATAATTGTGTTGAGAGTAGTTTTTGCACATATTGTTTACTTTCAAGAGAACAATTGTATTGCAAACTCTAATGAATACACACATCAGTGTTCCATATATATAAATAACTTGTGAAGTCTATTATAGAAAAGAAAGCTTAAGTTAAAGGATATATTTTCTAACGGTTATAAGCTTGAAAACAGAGACAACAAACACAAACAATTTTTCTTATTTTTCTTAGCCATTACATGCTTGATTGTTGGTGATTAGTACTTAAAAGTATATTTTTATCAAAGTTTTATATTATTATTTTATACTTGAAGTATTAATAATTTCTTAACTAAAGTATATTTTATAATAACATGTTTAATAATATAAGATACCTTTAATTTATGGTAAATGTTCATCTTAAATGCAAGCCTATCATATAAATCAAAAGATTAATTAATGAGTTTAACTACTGAAATTGATAAAACACAGAGAGAGCTAAGCTTAGAAAGAGATGTTGGTTCAGTCCAAACTAGATCACCATTCGATTATTGGATCATAACAGGAGTTGTAGAACTTGGATTTAGATCTGATTTATATGTTTGGAAAGCTAAGACATAAGCCTAAAACTTTCATAAGAGTTCAAGATTTAAAAGTGTCATTTGTAAATTCAAATGATAGCAACAACGAAAAAGTCATAATCTGTCTTGCAACTTAGATACTGTTTAGTGTTCAGCTCATATCTCAAGTTCTAAAAGTGCAAATGTGTTGATTCTAGTTTTGTTGGAAAGCTGAGACAATTTTCCAGAATTTTCACGAGGAATATATGTTCAAATTTTGATGTTAACAATTATGTTTTGTTCAAAAAAAAAAGATAAGAATTGTCACCAAGTCAAGATGTGGTCATGCACTCAACAATTAGTCATCAAATCAATAATTCTGAATTTTGACCTAAAAAAGAAGCATTTGCTATGCATTTAGGCATCTTGGTTGTTGACATGACCAAAAGATTGATGTCTTCTCCTAAGTGTAGGAGTGTAGAAGTAATAAATAATCCAACAAGACCGAGATCGAATCATAGGAAGGTTAATTGTATAAATTATAGATAACAATAATACTACAACAACAATAACAACAATAGTAGTAATAGTAATAGTAATAATAATATTAATAGTAATAGTAAAGAAGAAAAATAAGAAGAAGAAGAAGAAGAAGAAGAAGAAGTTGATAAGAACATTAAGATAGAAGATTAACGTAACGATTA